GCAAAGGGCGAGGAGGCTAGCTATGTTTTGTCCCATAGGGCGTATTACCTCTTCCATGGAGGATGGGTGTTGGCCTCGCGGCACCTCTATATCTACAGCAGAGAGTGTCAGGATTACAAGTTGATCCAACATGCAGTTATGTGTCACACCTAGGACTAAGGATAACGCATAGCCGGACCTTAGAATGGCCGGACTTAACGCCGAGGTCAGGGACACAGAATCAGACACAAAGATGAGGGAAATCCAAAAGTCAAGGATACCAGATATCAGGGAAGTCAAAACAAAGCCAAAGTCAAATACCAGAAAATCAAGATCAGGAATGCACTCTTGGATAACCATAGGCATGAAACGACGACAGGGTAATGAGCAAGAGGAGAGCTGGGTTTAAATACCCCTCCTGTGGATCCGATTGGCTGTAACTGGCCTTTGACCCCAAAGGCAATTACCAGGTTTACATGTGCTTGATTGCTGCTCAGCACAAAACCCTCCTGTGGATTTGATTAGCCATGACCTGCCTTTGACCCCAAAAGTAATTACCAGGTTTCCATGAGCATGATTGCTGCTCAGCACTGTCAGGACAGTAATGTTGCTCGGCACAACTTTTCCTGTCAGGACAGTAAATGCCATTAACCACATTTTTATGTGCGGATGAATACGTGACAGAGAGTGCCTGGGCAAAATACCTAAATGGCTATACCCAATCGTCTCTGGTTGGTTACCTATACCTTTACCCTTGAGTAAGGAAGCGGGAGCCACATACCTGTTGATCAATGTATGCTTGGCTCTGCCCTGCGTTAGTCTGAGATCCTGCTAAGGAGGGAGGCCTAAACCAAGATGGTACACAACAGGATAGAAGGGGGTAAGTATGTATGTTTGTAAGACACTCAAGCCTGCTGAATATGCCCACAATCCGTAGTGTTTAAATCAACTACGGTCTACCCACCTATGACCTTTTAGGTGGCGTGTCAACTTGTCCTAGCTTGGACCGTGCAATCTATGACCTTGACGAGCTAAGCTTGTCTAAGCTTGGAGCCTTGAGTCTGTAACACATGTCAAAGTAAGTTATAGTAGGTTCGGTAACTGTCTACTCAGTACAGTTTGAACTTTGTGTACATTTATGCTCCTGCTCACTGAGTTGCAGTTATACGCCTGAATAACGAAACGTATGACTGTTACAATAATGCACGTACCAGTTGGTAGGAACATAACACTCTTGACCTCTGTCAAGGTCTCTGAATCACGAAAGCAGACCTAGAGATCAAAAATGACAAATACTGGGTTAAGATATTCAGCTGTATGACCCCCCCACACCTCCAGGGAAAATGCCCTTCAGCTATGATTTAAGAAATTTGTAACTTTTACCTAATGCACGTACCAGTTAGAAATAAACAAAACTTGAGCTCTGATTAGGTCTATGAAACATGAATGCAGACCTATAGATCAAATTGACAAAATACTGATTTGAATAGACAACCGAATGCAACCGGGAAAAACCAATCCCTCATAGTGCCCGAAAGTACTAACAGTCTTCCAGAAACATAATAAACATTAAACAGAGCTATGCTGGAGACCCTGGCCGGTTGTGTGCTCCCTATTTGCAATACAGACGATGTACCAGTGTATCGTCTGTACTCACTGTTTAGCACAGGAAAAAGCTGTTTGTTCTGCGGCAGCTAGGCAGACAGCCTGGGTTCCGACCGGTGGAGATCCGGAGGAGCCTTTAAGTGTGTGATCCTGTTCTCGGGTAGCTGGACGTTCAGCAGTATGAGTCCCCAGCAGTCTGAGTCTGAGTCTGGAATCAAGCAGCAGTACGTCTGGACCAATAACCCCAGCAGTACGTCTGGAGCCAATCACGGTAATGTAGGGAAGGGGGGGAGTCCATTTTAGAGGTACATTACCCCTCCCACAAATTCAGGCCAAGCCTTCCAATATATAAATCTGGGTTTACTTGGAATAATCTGATTTAGGGGAGGATCTTCAAACAGAATAAACCAATACTTATTGATAATTTGTCACGACTGCTAGTGAGGTCCAGCATGCAGAACTGTCTACATAGACAGAACAGAAAGTATAGAACGTAAACCGGTCCTTAGAATGGCCGGACTAATACGTTAAAGACAGAGCATGGTCAAGGGATAGCCGAGGTCAAGAAAGCCAGAAATATACAATACCGTATAACAAGCCAACTCAGGGAAACCAGAAATCAGAATAGTCAGGAATAGCCAAGGTCAAAATACAGAGAATATAATAAACAGGACAAGAAAAATGCACTCTCGGGAACCAGGAACGGAAACCACAACAGGGCAATGAACTAGGAGGCTTCAGGGATTTAAATAATCTTTCCCTTTTGATTTTTCAGGAGGTCTTCTCTATTTAATGATTTAACCTCCTAAAATGCCTTATCCAATATGGTCTCTGTGTAATGTTTGGCTTTAATATCATTAACCAACTTACTCGCTTGGGTTTCATATGAATCTATACTAGTGCAGTTCCTTCTGATCCTCATCATCTGTCCCTTAGGGATGTTATCCAACCAGGGACCATTGACAGCTTTAAAAAGAAAAACTATTCCCATCCACCTTCTTGAAGAAGGTTTCAGTGCAGATCTTCCCATCCAAAATAAAAATCCTTAGGTCTAAGGAATGGACCTGGCTGTCACTATAGTCCACGGTAAGCCTAACATCCCAGGAGTTAGAATTGAGATGTTTAGTAAATAGTAGAAGCTCCTCTTTAGAGCACCTCCAAATCCAAAATAAATCATCAATGTAATGGCAAAAGGTTAACAGTTTCTGCACCCAGCTATGGTCCCCATAGATGTACCACTCTTCCTAATGGGACATAAACAAATTAGCATAGCTGGGTGCGAATCTAGACCCCATCACCGTTCCAAGAATCTGTAAATAAAAATAATCCATAAAATGGAAGATAATTTTTTAATTTGAGATCAATCCCCTCTAAAAATAAATGCCTGGTGATCAGGTGTTAAATTGGTGGAGTATACAGGATATGTACTATAGCGTAACCCTAAAAGCCAAACAGTGCTATCACCAAGAGTGTACTTCACTCACTCAACATAAATAACAAGAGAAAACAAATTAGCTAATATAACTCTAAAAAGTGATATTAGCTAAAGAAGTGGGATAGCACATACAATAAAGAGGATACAACCTGTATAACAGGGCGTGATCTATTGAGAGATCTAAAAAAAAAAAAAATAATATATAGTGAAGTACGTAAGGAAGACAATATCTAAATCCAGGAGGTAGAGAACTTACAAGAAATATTGATGATCTGCGCTTATCTCCCCTTAAGGGTGTCTGTATGAAGAAATAAAATTCTCCTTGGATATGAGATCCTCAAATGGATAAAAAGAAATATACATAGAGTAGTACTGTTAAAAAGTTATAAATTTATTACACTGATTGCACTTACATTCAGGTCGCAATCAGCAGGCATATCTCCACTAGCAAGTGGAACAGGATGGTAAATTCGTCGATGCTGAAGGTGGAGTAGTAGCTGGTCGCAACAGAAATAATACTAATATATAAAAATAATGTATATATATATATATATATATATATATATATACAATCAAAAAAATAATAATAAATAAATCATAAGATAAACTGGAAATGAAAATAAGTCCAGGTACTCAATCCAACGCATTTCGTCAAATATGGGATCACCCTGAAGAAGTCAGTATTTGACGAAACGCGTTGGATTGAGTACCTGGACTTATTTTCATTTCCAGTATATTTAATTTGATTCTCCCTTTTCTTTTTTTGGTCCCATTCTAAAAAATATTTTGATTGATCCCCTTGATTCAGTGATTCATATATGTTTTCAATAGGTATATCAAATCTAGGATTATTATTTTTCTCTGTTCTATGTTGAACAATTTTCCATGTTTTGGGATCTAATGCTTTATTGGAATCCCTATTCTCCCTATGAGGTGTTCTATCTACTTGAGTAGTATTCCTGTGATTACTCTCATCTCTACTCTGTTGGTTGGGATTGTATCCCCTCTGATACTCCCTATTCCCATTTGTGGATTCTCTCCTCTTATTAAATTGTTGTGCATCTCTTTTCTCTTTACCATACTGCTGTCTGTTTCTAATTCTAAATCCAATATGTTCTCTCCTAAATCCCTCTGATCTATATTGATTATTCCATGGTTCCCTTCCATCTCTCCTAGTTTCAAATCTTCCTTTGTGGAAGGTGTGCACTTCGTCCTCTAGATAGTCTCTTTTATCCTTTAGATATTTCTTTTTTTAAATTGTAATTACCTCTTTTTCCAGTTTATTAATTTCATTCATTTTCTTCCCTGAATGTTTCTCCTTTTCCCTGGACTCCACAAAAGGGTTGAAGGAGATCCTTGACCTATTTTGGATTTTATTATCTAGCTCCCTTAGATGAAGCTGTCTTGTTTTTAATAATAATATGTAACAAGCCAATAGATATCTGATTGAGATATTGATCCCATTCCCCCATAAATTCCTTACTTTCTCTATCAAAGATGGATGCTTTGTTGAATCGCAATCCCCTAGGTACCATACCTTCTTTTTTATACTGTTCCAAAGTGGCAATCTCCCACTTTATTTTTAACTCCTTAGTGAGCAAAGACCCTGTTGTGGGCCGAAAAGTTGTTTTGATTCTACTCCAATAAATCTTCCCATTGGATTGAACTTGAGTGCTTGGACCATCATTACTTTTTTTGCCTCTTTTAATGTATCATAAACACAACGATAATATGCTGGAGCTAGGGAACTTCAGGTCTAGGCTTATACCAAGAAGAAGAATTCAGCAAAGGATTCTTCATTACAATCTCCACTCAATTTGCATAGATTGTTTCGGGCAAATACAAATATTACAAGTTTTAGAATGAAATGTTGTATTTCTTAAACTGTGTACTTTGTCTTTAAGAGATATTGCAAATTGACAAGGTGTTAGAAATGGAACATATTGTTTTTCATAGATGTTTCTTTAAGCAATAACCTCAGTGCATAATATGTTTGCGCCATTTTGTCCCAGACGAATTACAATAACAATAATGCATAAACAAGCTTCAAGGCTATACTACGACTCTTGCAGTACACAATATACTGTGGTAACCCCAAGTTAATGGAACTTCCCCAAATCCGGGAATCTCCCGCGACTGTACACTTACGACTTAGTATAAACAACAGATAACCTATTCAGACTTTAAGATGCCATCTTGAACTAAGTCAGGAAAATTTCCATGACGTATACACCCTTTAGTTATGGCCTTGTATGTTTGCCAAAGGGAGGTCCTAAACTGAATAAAGTAAAAGAAGTGTTACTTTTTCATATTTGAACTACAGTAACCTAAAATGGAGACACCTAAGGTATAAATAGGTGTACTTTTAAACAGGGCCGGACTGGGAAAAAAATTCAGCCCGGGCATTTTTTTATCACAGCGGCCCACTAAGAAGGGGGCGGGGCAGAGAGGGTGTGTTTTGTCATCACTCATGACAAACACGCTCCCTCTCAAAGTGAGCATGTTGGTTCAATGCTCTTCAGGGCAGACCATGCGCAGAGCTCTGCTGAAGAGCTCTAGCATGAGAAAAAAGCCCTGTATTTGTTCTGCACAGTGCAAGCAAATTTAATAACATGCTTGCACTGTTTCCTTGCAACTTGTCTCTGATGTCTCTATAAATGGATACCAGGAGACAAAAGGGCCAGGAAAGAGTATTGTGCATGTGTTTGGAGCCTGTTTGTGGTATTACGTTTGTGCAGAGTGAGCTGGTCATGGTGTGGTATTGTGTAATAAGGTCTGTTTTAGTGTGTGTGAGTGCTGAGTGTGATAGTGCTGTGTATGATGTGTGATGTGTGTGAGAGTGATGTGTGAGAGTGCTGTGTGTGAGTGTTGTGTGTTGTGTGTGAGTGCTGATTGTGATAGTGCTGTGTATGAGTGTTGAGTGTGATAGTGCTGTGTATGATGTGTGTGAGTGCTGAGTGTGATGTGTGTGAGAGTGATGTGCCTGAGTGCTGTGTGTGAGAGTGTTGTGTGATGTGTGTGAGAGTGCTGAGTGTGAAAGTGCTGTGTGTGAAAGTGCTATGATGTGTGTGAGAGTGCTGCGATGTGTGAGATTGCTGTGTATGATGTGTGTGAGAGTGCTGTGTGTGAAAGTGCTATGATGTGTGTGAGAGTGCTGCGATGTGTGAGATTGCTGTGTATGATGTGTGTGAGAGTGCTGTGTGTGAGAGTGCTATGATGTGTGTGAGAGTGCTATGATGTGTGTGAGAGTGCTGCGATGTGTGAGATTGCTGTGTATGATGTGTGTGAGAGTGCTGTGTGTGAGAGTGCTATGATGTGTGTGAGAGTGCTATGATGTGTGTGAGAGTGCTGCTGCGTGTGATGTGTGTGAGAGTGCTATGATGTGTGTGAGAGTGCTGCGTGTGATGTGTGTGAGAGTGCTGATGTGTGAGAGTGCTGCGTGTGATGTGTGTGAGAGTGCTGAGTGTGAAAGTGCTGTGTGTGAGAGTGCTATGATGTGTGTGAGAGTGCTGTGTGTGAAAGTGCTATGATGTGTGTGAAAGTGCTATGATGTGTGTGAGAGTGCTATGATGTGTGTGAGAGTGCTATGATGTGTGTGAGAGTGCTGCGTGTGAGAGTGCTGAGTGTGAGAGTGCTGTGTGTGAGAGTGCTGTGTGTGAGAGTGCTGGGTGTGATGTGTGTGAGAGTGTTGTGTGAGTGCTGAGAATGCTGAGTGTG